TATGATATCCGTAAATGTTATATTATAAAATTATTATTATTATTATTATTATGTTATTTTTTATTATCCGCGAATATTAGCAACCGGACAAATTGAATGCAGCGGTCAAGGAAAAGCGACCAGAATTGGTCGATCGTAACGGTGTCATTTTCCAGCAGGACAATGCTAGGCCGCACACGTCTTTGTCCACTCGGCAAAAATTGATGGATATTGGTTGGGAATTGACGTTACACCCACCATATAGCCCCGATCTCGCGCCATCGGATTACCACTCATTTCGATCCCTGAACAACTCCCTTCGTGGTAAAACTTTTAATGATGATGAAGCTGTAAAATCTCACTGAACTCAGTTTTTGACCGAAAAGGATCAGACTTTCTACGAGCGTGGAATTTTCAAGCTGTCAGAGAGATGGCAAAAGGTCATCGAACAAAATGGAAAATACATTACAGATTAAACTTCATTCCAAGTAAAAAAAATTTTTATTCAATTGAACAAATCGGCGATTACTTAGTTGCCAACTCAATAATTCGCGCAGCGCGCGTAAATACCGTGGAACGAAAATATCCTGGGACATACCAAGACCGTCTTAGAATCTTTCCGAAGCAATTTGTTCGTTTTGTCCGCAGCATTACGCTGGTTAAATTGCAAGCGAACGAGAAACAACAGTTCACCGAATGACAAAGCCGATTGTTTTGCCACGTAATGGTCTAGATTATTAACTGGAAAGCGAGCAGCTCTCTTTCTTATCGGGATAATAAATCGTCCAGCATCGGGAGCGATCGGTTATCGGCCCGCTCGCTTTTGTTCGTATCCGATGAATGGCTCGGCGGATTATCAAACGAGAAATAACTGAGGGAAAGGTTGATTACATTCCGGATAGATCGAATTAATCCGCGCCGGCGGACTTCGTTCGCGAACGGTCGCAATCGAATTACGAAAATGAAGGACAGTAGGTCACACACATCGAAGTATCGAATGTGACCGAACGCGCGACGCGACACGACACGACACGACGCGACACGACGGGACGCGACGCGACACGAGGCGACGTACGACGGCCGAACACGCAAGTAACCGTGATCTCTCGTGACGTGACACAACGCCGTCGAGCCGAACGGAAAAGGAAAGATAAGGTGTAGCGGTGCCAATAGCTTAATTACTCGAGTAATCTACACCGATCGTCGCCAGACGTAGACGTAACGGAACCGAGTCTATCGATCCTGTTCGAACTGCGCGGACAGAATCAGTTGTTGTGACATCGGAACTGCTGAAATTATGTTAGTCGCCGGACAACCACGATATTATTTTTCCCTATTGCACAACGGTCCTCGATCCCGGCACTTTTTCCTTCTCAAGTGCAATCGATCCTGTCGCTCGATTTGGCAATGGAATAATCCACGTGGCGTCGATCGACGGGTACAACTCCTGAGACGTGAAAACAAAACAAGAAGGCGAGTAGGGTAAGGGTAGGTATATTAAATGCGGTTTCTCAATGAAGGCGAACTTTGACGGAGAAAATAAAATCTTTCGCGCCAATAAATTGACAACTTCAGTTATTCTTTAACTTGAATACTTACTTTTCTCAAAATATTGGATCTCTGAAAGAACAAATTTCGTTAAGAAGCGTAATGCGAAGAAACCATACACGTGTGTATATATTATTGCGGTTATGTGTCTGTTAAACCGAGTCAAATACTATCGATTACATATTTCCGATTATACCGCGTGTCAAGTCTGACATGACCCATTTTTTTTTAAATGTACACACACAACTACAAGTCCTAGATTATTATTATTAAGATATTCTCACTGCAGCACTTTACAAATTAGATATATATATATAAGTATTCTACGAAGCAAGCGTGTTCGCATCGGCTTATCGAGAACTGCACTGTATAGGTTAAGGTACGCATTTCGGGAAAGCAGCACGTTAGTAAATAATATTTGATAATGACAGTTCACGTCGATTTTTTTTATCAAAGTAATGATTACTTTATCTAAAAATAACGCTAAAATGAATAGTTCATTATTAACTACCAAAATATAAATGCCTTTTGAATCAGCGTTCACAGCTGTCATTACGAGTATCCCACAAGAGAATCGAGGTAATTTTATGTTATTATATCGCACTATTCGTGCATAGAGTTACTAAATGCACAAATCAACTCGAATAGATAACGTACACGTTGAACTACCTTACCTAATAACATTAACATTTCTTTGGCGATTTTCATAATTTTTTACAACGCTTCCGAATTCGCATACTTCACTACACAATCTGAATCGAATAATTTAATTAATGGAAGCAAAAACTAGAAAATCACAAGTGATCATAGCGAATGCAACTGCAATTCTTTCGCGTTTAAAAAATTCTAGTAAAATACTCGTTATATATAATATATATTATATATAGTATAGTATATATAGCATATGTATAGTATAGTATATATATATATATATAGTACATATTATATATAATATATTATATAATACTCATTCAGAATAAAAATTTGAAAACCTATTCAATACCCACACGGTGTTATATTTTTCGTATTTCTCATTTGAAAAAGCACTTTGTCTTGCGCCAAAAGCCGCGAACAAACGTCGGGAACGTAGCTTGTTAAAAATCGCAACGCAAATAGGCGGAAATCGGCGCAATTAACGTAGGAGGCAGCGCAAGGTCCGGGCAAAGTGCATCAATAGGTAAAGCGAAGATCGCGTTACAGTTGCGTCCGTGAAGAATTCATTCCTCTGTTTAAATGCACCGTGCACGAGGCCGGGCGTTTCGTGGAAGAGAACAGATGCGGCTCTTCTTCCACGTTGCTCTCGTCCCGAGCAAACAAACCAGAAGACTCGTAGTAGTTCTCTCCGGCCTGTGTGTCTGACGTGCGCCGCGTTTTTCTTGATTTTTTCCAGCGTGTTCCTCAGGAGGCCCGGCGCGGACGAGTCCTTCGTGAAGCTGCGAGGAGGAGCCGGGAAATTGTCCGTGTCGCACGACAGCGTTTTCCCCGGGGAGGTTCCGCACACTCGGCCGCTCTCGTCGCTGGCCAGTCTAGCCACCCTCGAGGTCAGTACACACCTTCTTTATTCACGAGCGAAACGCCGCCGAGATTCCTCCGGGGGAACGTCCGCTCGAATTTTTCAAAACCTTCGGCCGAGCCGCGACTACTGCGGCCGATCGTTACCGGATCGAACGGCGTTCGTCTCTCGTTTCGATTCGACCGTTCTCTTCAAACTCTCGGCTGTGAATAACAGACTCGTCGCGAAGTGCCGGCAATCTTCTCTGCTATGGCCGGAACTGCGGATATTCATGCGAGAGAAAAATTGTCTGGATCGTTCGCGAGACGATACGTTTCGCTTCTCAATGATTTCAGCGTATCCGAGAATGGTACAACAGTTTCGACACTAGATTTATACAGCGTTGAAGCAGCCGTTTTTTATATTGGTTTGGAAAAATGAGACGTTTATTCTCATTTTGAACGAGTGCTATTATAATATTTACCGCGAGTAACAAATGCGTTGAATAAATCACTTGCAAATGTATTGTTACAATCTGAATACAGTAAATTCTCCCTAATTCTTCTTAAACAAAAATAGACAATTTGGAAAGAGGAACAGGCAAGACAATGAAAAGAACGTGTAAGAGCGTCAATGCATTAAATTGTACGCATTGGAATTATTTAAGGGTGATAAAAATTTCTACACTTCTATTTCTCTTCCTTAAAATCCGCGGAGACAATTTTTATTCTGCGTGAAGATCCGCGGTCTACCAACCAGTACATTTCTGAGATTTTTAACGCTTGTCGGACATTCCGACTTACGATTCAAAGAGAAATTGCCTGCGATACACGATCAGATAAGGATTAAAAATCAGGCTGCACAGTCGAGAGATCGATGAGAGTTAGTTCCCTCCATTCGCAACGCAACGAAGAAACGTTTTGTACACTTCGTGGACTTCGTTTTGTTCATCGTTATTTGAAACGATCGCTCTTCGAGTGACGCAGTTGATGCGGTTGTTTCGGTTCGTATACGCCAATGGGGCGTTCTGTATACGCCAATGATGCAAATGGGTGAGACGATGGCTGAAAGTCTCAGAAGTAAAGTGCAGAACGCGTAAGTTGCGGCGCGAATTGGTACAGCTAAAATTATTCCGTTGGCGAAAACGGGCGATGATCGATGTAAATCGCGATCCCCGGTGGGAAAGGGTAAACAGAGGCGCGGCGGAGGCGTTATTCTCGTTATCCAATGAGCGTAATGTCCGCCACGGCATTCTGAGCACGCGTGAATCGAGTTAAGGCGGTTACACGTGTCGAGGATCGACTCGTGACCCGTCTTCCAATTTCCTCGGTGAACAACGAGAAGACCGACGCCTCGAGACGTCCGAGGCGTCAACGTTATCTTGCCTTCGCAATCCTCGCAATTACTCTCTTTCCATTCCCCCCAAAACAGGCTATAATCGTTCCACGAACAGGGTGCAATAAGAATTATATAATAATTCGATTCGATGTAATACAGTTTAATTTGATTTAATTTGTTAAATTTACGGGTGCGAGCGCTTGTTACAATAGTAATCTCGATGCTATTATGTGAGTTACCTCATAATGACGTAATATAGTCGATCCGTTGTCGTAGTTTAACGAGACAGACTCGTGGCGAAGATTTCTAATAATAAACTATTAGGTTATTTGGGTTACACGAATGTTGTTCCGTTCTTTTGAGATGGAATCAAATTCTTGTCATCAATATTTAAATATTCAAGTGGATAAAAATATACAATAAATAGTATAAAGTTTATTTTTCTTGTAAGAAGTTGTTGCGATTGAAAATCGAATCATTGCAATTGTAAAGAAAATGATACGATAAGGGATTAATGAGATTGAGTTTTGTAGCATTCGGGTGAAAAATGCAGAAATTGATCAAGTCTTTAAAATTATTGACATTGATAAAGACACGATTTAAGAAGTTAAATCGACCGTACAGTGTTCGAACATCTGCAAAGAAATTTTCTAAAACAATGGTTTCTAGTTTCATTAATGCTAGACGTACCGAGCACTAATCTTGAATTACGTGTATTGCTTTAAAATAATTACAAGAGAGCATTTAGACTTGGTGCGATTTTTACTGAAGTAGCACTTACAGTAGCTTCTTCACTGCTGGCAGACGTGTATTTAAGATATGTCTATTATATCTATAATCTGTCATAATTTATAATATAATATATTATATCTATTATAATCTGTTATAATTTATAATATAATATATTATATCTATTATAATCTGTTATAATTTATAGTATAATATATTATATCTATTATAATCTGTTATAATTTATAATATAATATATTATATCTATTATAATCTGTTATAATTTATAGTATAATATATTATATCTATTATAATCTGTTATAATTTATATTATATTATATTACAATTTTCTACCACCTTTCTACTCTGTTAAAAATAATTCTTGTCGCGTACAACATAATTCTTCAATCTCAATTTAATTGAACACATTACTTTAATTTGATGAAATCTTCGAAGTGTTTAACGTGGCAGCCAAAGTGTTAAATAGGGTAGTTTACTAGAAAATTTCTCAAGATCGCGTTTCTGCAATCTCGACAATCGTGAAAGAGAAAGAGAAATATTTCGTGGAGGCCAAACAATTAATAACAATTAAAATAAGTAGACTAGCTAGTCATATATGAGACCGCGTCAAGTTCAAGTTCGAGCGCGGCTCTCTCGGAACCGCGGAAAATAAAACTGACGCAGAAATCCGTAACTAACCGACAAATTACGGCCATCACGCGGAGATCCTTCGCCGTGATCATCGGATCTAGGAATAGACGCGGCGCGCGGGATGCGTTCAGCAAAATGTCAATTGAGCGGCCGGCGAAAGTAACAATCGAATTGTTATTCGACGCGCAGCGGATCGCGTAAGTTCACCTATTTGCACGCCGCAGGGCCGCGAATTTCCATATCGCGGGCAGATTCGTATCGCGTTCGAAAGCGAACCGGTCGCGTTTCGCCTGGAGATTCACGGCAGACCCGGCGAAACACCGCGGAATCGGCGAACAGAAATGGAGAGGAGAGGAAGCGAGAGAGAGAGAGAGAGAGGAAGAAAGAGAAAGATAGAGAGAGAGGAAAGAAGAGAAAGATAGAGAGAGAGAGAGAGAGAGAGGAAGAAAGAGGAAGATAGATAGATAGAGAGAGGGAGGGAGAGAGAGAGAGAGAGAGGGAGGGAGGGAGAGGAAGAAAGAGAAAGATAGATCGAGAGAGAGAGAGAGAGAGAGAGGAAGAAAGAGAAAGATAGAGAGAGAGGGAGGGAGAGGAAGAAAGAGAAAGATAGAGAGAGAGAGAGAGAGGGAGAGGAAGAAAAAGATAGATAGATAGAGAGAGAGAGAGAGGGAGAGGAAGAAAGAGAAAGATAGAGTGACAGAGAGAGGGAGGGAGGGAGGGGAAGAAAGAGAAAGATAGAGTGACAGAGAGAGAGAGAGAGAAAGAGACATCCTTTCTACTAACCGAGGGAAAAAAGCGCCGCGGCGTTCCGTTCTGATACTTGAGGAAAGTCTCTCGAATTGTTTTCACGTTCGTGGAAAAGCATGTGACGCGACGTGCGCGCGCGTGTGTCGTGAACCGTACCATTTTCTTTTTTTTTTCTCTCTTGTTTTGCAGCGGCGACAAACGAGAAACAGCAACGAGATCGAGCATAAGGACTACAGTCAGCACGTTGCACAGAGGCACAGGATATCCTTGCGGGTAATGTCTCCTTGGCCGCCTGTTCTCTGCTCGCGATAGCAAACGCGGATTACTCGGAAAATTCGTTCGCAGATCCGACGATTTCACGGTGAAATCATCGAGTTCTAAGGGGGAACCGTATTCTCGCTAAATCATTCTTAAAGCAATTTCTAACTACACGTTAGAATATTTTCAAGTACACGTTAAAACGTGAAATTCGTCGTCTTAAGCCTTTCGAGACTACGCAATGCACATCATTTTCTCCGTTCATCACCGAGACACTGTTAATTAAGATATGGTAATCTTCTCTGTCATCACCGACATACTATTACTGAGATATAATTTTCTCTGTCATCACTGAGATAATAGTGCTACGTGTCCAACTTTCAAAAATATGTACTTCACACGTATTTTCTTTTTTACGAGTCGTTTAACTTTAATTTATTTATTTACGGGTAAACGCCTGTTTTTACAATAATGAGTAAACAGTTTAAAACCTGTTTCGAATTTTGTGACAGTACAGTAATGTCTTCCTAACTGACGCTTAGATTGTACAGAAAAATGGACAATTTGTGAACAGCAGATACGATTATTCCGGCTTTGCATCATGTTTTTGTAATCGTTCACAATCGGTAACTATAAAAACAAGTCGCAAGACTCCTCTTCCCAAATTGTCTATTTTTCTGCACAATCTGAGCGTCAATTAGGGAGACATTACTGTAGTTATAAATATATCTATGTTATCGCTGTAGAAAAAATGTCCCGTAAAAATGGTCAATCGCGCCGAATCTCGATGAATAGAACGCGGTCAGGGTCAGATTACTGCTGGAAAAGTTATCGCGTTAGCGCCGGAGAAAATCGGTCTCGAAAGGGTTAACTTATTGTTGGTAACGCCAGGATAAACTACGATGCTCGAAGGGTTAAGTAGCAAAGTTCGCACATTCAAGTTGCCGCCGTATGTTCCTATTTGTCAGAAGCGCGTAAGCTTCCGTGTACCAAATTATAGCCTGTTTCTCGAAAGAATAGACCCTCTGCCCTCCGTCTGGCTGCAACAGCTGTCCATTCTGCCACAAATCACGCGATTGACATTGGGCTCGGTGTGCGATGGACGCTTATTACCGTCGCCATTCGATCCCGGGGTCTCTTCTTTCGAACGCGAATCGCGTTGCGCGAAATAATTTTGCGCCGTCGCGAATTAGCTGCTCGAAGGCCGGCGTCTGGAAAACTCGGGTGTCCGGGACGAGAAAGCGACGGGGATGAAGGGAGAAAAAAAAAGTAATACAATGCGAACGAACTTACGTCGCGAATTACAGCGGGGAAAAACTCGACTCGACGAGCGTCGAGGAGCGCGGGACATTTTTCGAAGGGCCATTTTGCCGTTGTGTCGTTGCGAATTAGGGTCCTCGGCGGGACCGGAAAAGGCCCCGGGGAAGCTCGGCAAGAACGTCGTTCGAAACGAAAACGCCTCGCCGGCTACACCATATTTCCTCGCCGCGTTCGTTTTCCTTTCTTTTTTTTCCCTGGCTTCTCTCGACCCAACTACCGTTTTAATAGCGGCGGGGATCGCGCGCTGAAATCTGGGACACACCGGGTTTTACAGAAACGATAATTACGGGCAGCGGCTCGGCATTGTGGATAATTGCCGAGCGTGTACTTAGACGCCGGTTCGTTCGTTCGTTTGCAGGTGCTCGAGCAAATAAAGACGGTCATAGAGAACCGGAACCAGCTAGCCTCGGCGATCTCGTCGGACACCGCACACGTGAGTATATCGAGACGCCTCGAATTAGATAACATCGAATCAATCCGCGATTAATAAAACACCGACGTCCGCCGAGAGGAGGGGCGAGCTTGAACCTTGCCCGGTTCGTTGACCTTTTCCCAACGAGACAGACCAATTTGTCCGCGTGCTTTTACCTCGATACGAAACCAGAGGAAGCCGGGCCCGCGAAAATGGTATTAACCCGGCGGAGAAGACAGTTATACTCGAGGAACGGTTCCTCGATCTCGTCATTTAAGATTGGTAGGGATTCCTCTTTGGCTAAAAAGCTGGTCTGGCCGAGCCAGGCAAACGCCCTTGAACCGAATTAACCTCCTTGCCCCGTGCACACAATCGTCAGACGTCTTTGAACTTCTGATTTTAATATCTTGTTTTACGATCGCTTTAACGGCTCGATTAATTATCATTCGACGAAGTCCTGGTTAACGTCGAGCGAAATAATTGCACGTTCGATCCCCTTCCGCCTTGCTACAAATAACATTTGGCGCGCTCGAATGTTCCGAACAAAAATTTCATTCTAAATCCGATCGATAGACCGTGAACGCAAAATTATTTTTCTCGTAGACGCAGTAAAATCAAGGAAAAGGAAAATCTGCGTTTATTAGGCTTTATTGTTATTCGCAAAATGAAAGTTGTCTTCGTCGATTGCAACAATCATGTGTTAAATAGAAAATTTCTTTCTTTGACGCTGGAACTATCGAGCCCTAAACGCGACTAATGTATATTGTTTTATAACGATGTCGAGATTTGATTTATTTGAATTTCCTACGATTTTTATTATAATATGAATGAAGAAGATGGTACAGAAGTTCTAGATAAAAACACTTTTACAGTGTCGACGATTGCAAAAGAAAGAATTTAGAAATCAGTCATTTCGGCTAGTTTGACAATAGTAGTGTTGATAATTAGATAATAGACAGTAACACTTTTATTGGCATAAATTTCACCAACTCGTTTTTCGCATACATTCATAAAATTCGCCTATCTGCAGTAAATTCTCGCTAATTTTCCTTCAGCTTGTAAACAAAAATGGACAATTTGAGAAGAGGTGATGCGATCGCAGCTCATTTTTATAGCTAGCGATTGTCAACAATTATAAAAACGGCGTGCAATAATAATATTATTATATCTATATATTATTATTATTATTATAATATATTATTATATCTACATATTATTATTATTATTATATCTATATATTATATTAGTATTATTATTATTATTATATATTATTATATCTATATATTATATATTATTATTATATCTATATTATTATATATATTATTATTATTATATCTATATATTAGTATTATTAGTATTAGTATTATTATTATTATATCATATAGACATTATTATTATTATATCTTCTCTTCCCAAATGGTCCATTTTTGTTTACAAGCTGAAGGAAAATTAGCGAGAATTTACTGCATTCAACGTAAGCGAACGTTCTCTCTAAACGGTAAAACAGCGACAACGAAGAATTCTCCTGCGATCGAAACGGGATTAATCCGCGTTGCATAAATTCTGTTCGAAATCCTCGTAACGGGGCCGACTTGCTGTAGGGCAAGTGGTTAACTAGATTCTTAGCAGTATTACGCAACGTTATGCGATCCCGTTTGATTCACGAGATTCGACGCGAAACACGAGACTAGAAATAAGAGGGATAATGGAATGGCGGAAGGGGCGGACAAAAGAATGTAAATTAGCTTTCAGTGGCCAGGACGAATGGCTAAAACAAACGTTACGCGCCGCGGTTTCCACGTACCGCGATGCACTTTTATGGCGCGGCCGTTGCTGTCCCTTCTCCGTGGAAATTCGTGACATTCCAAGCGTTACGACCGAAGCCGGTGACTAAAACCTGGGTAATATTCGTGGACAACGACGACGAGCTTAGCCGCGCGCGCGTGCTTCTTCGTCTATTCTGTTGCGATTGCAGCGACGGCGGAGCTTCGCACAGCCTTCTTCCTAGACGTATCAAACGAATTGCATCATCGACGTCGAAGACCAGCTTCTCCGCGGCCTCAAAATATTCCAGCCGTGTACGAATCTCCGATCCGGTCTAAAAATATCGCTCGGATCGATCGCGTGTCGACGGTCGATCGAAAAACAGATTATCGCGGAGCAGACGAGATACCGCTATCTTTATTTTCAGCAAGCGGAGACACGGCGAATAATGCGCGAAGCACCCGGCCAACACCGTTTCGAATTCCACATTTTCGAGCAGCGACGCGCACTTTTCTACATCGCGGAAACGGCATGCGGCAGACAGACAATAACATCACCGCGTTCAGCGTCGCGTACTGCTTGCCATAAGCTTAGATCGCGTGACAACTTTTCCCTGGACTCGCGGCCAAACTTCTTCCAAACGTTCTCGATAAAACAATGAAACCTTGTCCCGCTCTATGAATCGATAAATCGATCCTCCGTCCGTTACCACGACTCGGGACAGTTTTTAAAAAATGCAAAAATGTTCTAGCGAATGTTTGGGACCGCTTTGGGTCATTGTTCGGTAAACAAATCCGCATAGAAGGTCAACAGTCGGGAAAGGGGAAGGGGCTCGCAACGGCCCCGTCTACCTCGGCGTCATTTAATTATATCCGATGACACGTTCTGCTTTTGCGTTTCAGGCTGTCGGTGAACGTTATCAGCAGGAAACCGCCGAGGTAAGATAGTAGGCTGTGAACACTTTTTATTCCCGGAACCAGCGTCGTCGTCGCGCGCTCCGCTTCGCGATCCGAGCGATTTAGTCGTGTCCGCGGCGCGCACTTGTCGAGTCGAACCGGTGTCCGCGCACCGGAGCCGATCACCGATTTCCCAGTGTATAAATCCGTAGCCTCGCGATCCACGAGCGAACACGATCGCGCTGACACAATGTTCTCGAAGTCCTCGGACGTTTTCGCCGTCTCGTGACGATTATTTGTCGCCGCGAAAGAAAAACGCCAAAAAAGCCGCGATCTCGTAATCACCGCGATCGAACGGACCCGATATCGGTTTCACCGATCGAAAAAAACCTGTCGTCGATTCGTGGAACCCGCTGGACGCGATTGGGAAACTCATTGATACGGTGAAATCGTCGGTCGCGGGACCAAAATGCCGGACGAGGATGAAAATCCGCGATCGCTGAAGGAAATAGTGCAGAGAATTCTGGAGGCGGTGACCGGCTCGTTGAGATCCTTTAGACGCAGATCAGAGGTAATGTGGAAACGAGCCAACCGACTTTCACCGTCGTCGAGAGTCGAAAAGATATATTCGCGGGCGACTTGTTTATTAACTACTTTCATTCGTTGCGTCACGGCTGGCGTTTGCAACCGCGTTCCTTCCGTCGGATCGTTGCACGCGACACGTTCGATTTTTAACGGGCGCCGTTTCTCTCGGAATAACGAGCAGTTTAATTCTTTTCGTCTCACCGTCGTCGTCGCTTTTCTACGTTTACCAGCAATTACGTGAAACTCGATAGGATAGCTGCGCCACTGGATACAAAACGCATTATCTACCGGCGTGTTGTCTAACGCTTTCCACGGAGACCATGATTCACGGCTGACGATCGTCCATAAAACGCGGAGTACTACAAAACTGAACATTTATTTTGGTGTTCGACGTATTAAGTCATTCACTATGAAATGCATACTTCGCTCTATAATTTCACTATAAAACCCGTGCATTCCATACTTAACGATCTGACAGATACAGAAGGAAACCTCCGATCATTGAAAATACTGAACGCCTAATTTCGAACATTTATTTATCAGATTGAAATTTGTTAGTGTCAACTTACCTGTGGATTTACAAAACTGGACATTTATTTTGTTGTTTAATATATTAAGTCGTTCACTGTAAAATGCATACTTCGCTCCATAATTTCACTATAAAACCCGTGCATTCCATACTTAACGATCTGACAGATACAGAAGGAAACCTCCGGTCATTGAAAATACTGAACGCCTAATTTCGAACATTTATTTATCAGATAGAAATTTGTTAGTGTCAACTTACTTCTGGATTTACAAAACTGGACATTTATTTTGTTGTTTAACGTATTAGGTCGTTCACTATGAAATGCATACTTCGCTCTATAATTTCACTATAAAACCCAAGCATTCCATACTTAACGATCTGACAGATACAAAAGGAAAGCTCCGATCATTGAAAATACTGAACGCCTAATTTCGAACATTTATTTATCAGATTGAAATTTGTTAGTGTCAACTTACTTCTGAATTTACAAAACTAGATATTTATTTTGTTGTTTAACGTATTAGGTCATTCACTATGAAATGCATACTTCGCTCTATAATTTCACTATAAAACCCGTGCATTCCATACTTAATGACCTGACAGATACAGAAGAAAACCTCCGGTACCGAACGTCTAATTTCGAACTTTTATTTATCAGATAAGAATTTTCTCGTGTCAACATACTTTCGGATTAGCCAAGTTTGCCGAACAATTTCACGAATTCGCTGCTACTTGAAAGTACGCGATACTTTCGCTTCGGTGGCAAAGAGTTTACCGAGGTATTGCTCACGCGTAATGTAAACAATGTCTGGATACACAGAAGCTCAAACAACGGTGTGGAAATTACTGAATAACATCGCCCGGTTGCTAAATACAAGTGTGCATTCTCGCGGTTCTGACGTCGAAGCTATTCATTATGTCGAGTCCATTCCATGAAACATTTTGTTTTTAGATAACTAAAAAAATCTAGTTATGTCTATCTACGATATCTATTTTACCTATCTGAGTTATATATTATCTAAATTATAATTATTATATAATATTATATTATTTTTTATATTATTATAATCTATTATAATAATAATAATAGGTTATAATATAATCTATTATAATAATAATAATAGGTTATAATATAATCTATTATAATAATAATAATAGGTTATAATATAATCTATTATAATAATAATAATAGGTTATAATATAATCTATTATAATA